TATATTGGCAATTACAGCTAATGGAGTAGACTCGGCCCGAGTGTGAAACGCTAACAAGACTATTCACGATTCGTCGCGCATTGCCGTAGCGGACTTGATTTGTGTGAATTTGGTTCCATTGGACGGTATACGGATGAATTTGAATCTTCACACCTCTATGACTAATTTACTTCGCTGCTCAAAGATTTTCTTAATCTTACGTATATATGTAGAAAGCGATAGGATCATAATTTGTTAATTGACAATTCTTTTGTACCAATTGATACCTACTATTTACTAATATGCATAATACAGGTCACTTCTTTTAACCGTGATGGTCCACGATTAAAATGCCTGTATAAAGATATATGACAACAAAGATAACATCTCTATTTGATAAAAATGACCACAAAAACAATCACTCACCAATCACGAAATAACTTTTTTGTAACTATATTGTGTACTAGCTTTTGCCAGCGATTTCGTTCACGAAGAATTAAAAAAATATAGCCCAATTAATAAATGATAATGTTGCTGTCTAATAGCAAAATAATTTTTGAAATCGTGTCAATAGTTTTGAGTTTCTTCGTTACATACAAAATCCTTCCACTTTATAATATTAGTATAGATATACACGTCTAGATTATATCTTATTACATATTCTGCAATTACTTAATGTCATTTATCGTGACGTCATGAGCAATGGATTCGTGCGCTGATGACCGCGATAGCCCGAAACAAATTGGTCGCAACTGACGACTGTTTACGCGCCGATGCGTACCGTTGACTGCTCCAGCTGTTCTCTGAGGACTTCGAATGCGATAAATATTACTAGCATGATAGTTTTGTTAAGTAAGAGCTAATTTTTGAGATACCATTTACGTCATAATTAAGAAAGATCTTAACCTTTCCATTGCACCATATCAACACTGTATTGTTATTCCTTATTCTCTTTGAAAACGCACAATTACAGAAAATTATAACTGCATCAAATGTAAGATTGTTATCAAAAAACATTTTTTTTCTTACTATCTTACTGATATTATAAATGGGAATGTTTGTATGTATTGAGGCACGGATGAACAGATCAATGTTTGTTCAAGGTATTTCCAGAACGGCTCAATGGATGCCTATGATTTGTCATAGAAGTAGAACATAGGTAGAACACAAAGGCCGAAGACTAAGTTTTTTTACGTCGCGAGAGAGTTTTTAAGAATCGTTGGTACCCAGTTTGTCATAAAGTTCAATCATATTATGTAAATAACAATCTAGCTTGACTCGTAAGTCAGACTGCTAACCAAATACCAGTTTCCATTATCTAATCGTACTATATATATCGCTAATTACGTGCAGATAAACGTAAACATCGAGTTAGCCATTACGTAGACTTGTTAATTAGTAGCGGAAATCTGAGGAGACGTCAAGATTGACGATATTAGATTAACGTTTGTAGTATTGATGTCTCACTAGCACGGGCTAGTCTTCCTATCCAATTACACAAATTAATTAATATGAAGACTGTATGAAATATTACTTTTCCAATAGCCTTATGGTTAAGGGTACGGATTTCCGATCATGAGTTCTGGGGTTCGAATCCCGCCATTCGACTATTGTCGTAAACCATGTTCTAGCACAAGCATACAGCTTAGTTGGAATAGTGCAAGAAATATTAGTAAATTAACAAAAATCTGCTAATATTTTATTCCGAAAAACAACAAGAAGCAGAACTATATTCGATATCTATAGTGATAACATTATATTTGTTAAATAGTCTGTGGTAAAAGAGAATTGTTCGTTATGACATAAGAAAATGCAGCATCCGTTTTAGATGTTGAAATTTTGAAACCATTTTTTACACCATTTTTCATTATTAACCCTTAAATGGACAATGTTGTTTTTAAACAACATACTAAACATCACAGATAAAATTATCTTTATTTTATTTTTTTTGTTAATTTTGACAACTAGTTCTTATTTCTAAAAAAAATAGTAAATTCATGTCTAGATTTTTTTACTCATTTTTCCTAGACAGTAATACATGTCTATTACACAAATATATTTTTTTAAAACGTAAAAAAAAATCGTCCATTTAAGGGTTAACAAAGACTGAAAAAAGAAACTCACTATTGTAATTTAGCATAAGGAATATGTGCAAAAAAGAGTACAGACCAAGACTGTGTTTACGTTGTTTATTTTAATAAAAAAACCTGGACCGTACCAAAGGTTGCAACTTTGGTACGGTTCAGGCTTAACGTTTGTTCCATGCTTATTAACAATCTTGATTAAAAATATATATTTTTTAACTTTCGTCTCATCACTTATTTATTTTGTTAGTAAATCTATTATGTATAACAAAGATCTGATCTTAGGTTTATTACGGGACACTTAGTTCAGTAGAACAAAATTTAAGTAGAGTTTTTCTAGTAAACATGGATGTGCCGAACAATCTCGTAGCGGAGGCTGTCGACTGCGCTCTTTGAACGGAAACACTTTCCGACTCCCGGAAAATTGGGAAATGATATATGCGAGGCGAAAGTAACGTTCGTTATTCTCGCACTGTATAATTCTTGCGTTGACGTAATTTCATTTCTATTTGTATGTCCACCATATTAATATTTCGTTTTAGTATACTTATTTATAGTACAGATTATTTTATTATTTTTTTATTCGTCTGACAAGAAGGTAATGTTTTTTGCGCTTATGTAAGACCGTTTTTATGTGATGTGTGTTTGTATGTATGCGAATTCCATTATCGGCCTAGCCATTAGGCTCGAAAGACTGAACTGTTTTGACGAGTTTTTTTTTTTAAATTTCAGTTTATGTTAGATGTAATTTAAAAATGGAACAAACTTGTAAATTTTCCGTCACTGACTGAACTTATGATACATAATTCGTAATTGAATGTTTTTTTAGTAATAAATAATAAAAGTCGTATAAACTTACTCAGGTAACTTTGGACAGGTTTTTTGTCGAAGTAATTTGTACCAATTATTTATTATTTCAATACAATGTGCGTTAAAAATTCGAGTAAGATTTTTTGTTCCTTTTTCCAAGGGTTTACATAAAGCATTCTTTGAACTGGCTATTGTCGTTCAATACGGGCACATTAATTCAATTTTGTTAATGGCTTTGGCCATTTGCCTCGCGGCTTTGGGTCTTTCTGTCGTTTTGTTGTCGTTGAAAAGAATACCCCGAGACCAAATTGATCTAATGTGATCTGGTCCCTCCAGCGAACTAAAAGTTTTAATTTCATTGTTACAACCTTTTAACAGTTATGTTGTATATAACCTGTTTTTCTCTTTATTTTCCTGTTCTCAAGAGAAAAAGAAATAAAGAAAAACGTTCCTTAACTGTTATTTACTCGTATATATTGTCGATGTTTTGAGTTCCTGTCCTTTATTAGTGTTAGTTATTTATATAAATCTGAATAATTTATGAATAGCAGAGTCCTTCGTCTAATTCTGTTCAAATTTTACAAAAACAATGCCTGTTGTACATTTCCAACAAGGGAAAATTATTTCGCAACATTCTCTATTTCAAATAATATTATAAAGAAACTAATTTTAAGTGCTTGTTCTATATTTCAGAGTAGAAAGATATTGTGACACATATTTAAAACGGTAATATTTTACGAAGGCATTGTCGTTTCTCCATTTTATTAACTTTCACGGAAAGTGATAAAAATGATAGGCGCTGTTTAATAAAGTCACTTGCTTTGTCTTTATTTCTGTATTTACTTTTACCGCTTCTGTCACAATAAAATAAGTATGCCATGATATTCCTACTTATGTAATAACTAAAGAACTTAGTAGACATACAGACATACATATATATTGAAACAGAATTATTGTTATAGTACTTCTAGCAAAGGTATATTTGACGTCTCTCAGACTGCACCAAACCAATAGGAGTCATCTTGATATCCTGATTATACGTACGTACGTACCGATTTGGATGGATGGAAGTATGGATGGATATTTGTTTGAAGGTATCTTCAGGGCGGCTGCATGGATCTCGCTTAAATTTGGCATAGATGTAGAATATAGTCTGTAAGAACACATAGGCTACTAAGTTTTTTTTTAATTTCACGAGGACGGAGTCGTGGGTGACAGCAAGTATTTCATAAAATAATCGAATAAATTTTATGGTATATGTTTTTCCACAAACATTATTTATTAGAAGCCGTACATAAAATCTTAATTCTATAAGAAAGTATGATCCAATTATTCAGCTATCTCATCCACAGAAATATAGTTTTTCTTTTCATTTTTTTTTAATTTACGATTTATTTTTTGACACATTACAACGTTACACAAATTTTAAATTTATTCGCCGACAGCGGTATGAATAATTTGATAAATGTAATGAATTGTGTAGGCGAATGTACAGATGAATTTAGATATTAATAGGAACAGACATGTCAACACACAGCAAACGTAACGCGTCACATGTTCGCTGGGAATAGAACTAATTGCAGTTCTGCGTAACACTTTTCCATTTAAGTATCCGACTGTATGTCTGCATGCTCCTTTACACATCCGACGTTTTCGACTGTCGTTCGATTTTCGGCCGACAGTGTACGGGAGACTTTATTTATTCCCACACGTGCACATATTGTGCTTCGGAATGTCCTACTGATTCAATTTTATTAATGGACTTGGAAGTTTGCCCCACTGACTGTGAACACGACTATTCTCTTCGCGGCGAGACATATTTTAATCCAGTAATCAAATATTCGAGATTAAGTCTTAACACTTGGTGTTAAGGTGCTTTACAGGTTGGGAGAAACGGTAATTTTTTAATGTTCTCTAAGAGGAATCGTCATGGAGGAGACTGCATTGAGTCACATTATGTCAACAAGGCCAATCCGCTTTCAAAAGCATTTGCGATATTGCTTTTGGATTAATTCGTTTTACGATTGACATTAATGTTCAGTGATGTATCCAGCTTTACTTAAAGACAGCTATTCTGAGTTTTAACATGCTTTTAATGTAATTAATGGTTTCGTTTCATTGTTTCAGAATGATGTGGAAGTAGAAACCGCAACATCCATGCCACGATGACTGCTATAAACTCGGTAAGAATAACTTCGTAAATAAAAGATAAATACAAGCAAAAAAAGTAATAACCATAAAATTAAATAAACCCTGTATTCGTATACATATCTTAACTCGTAAAAATGAATGACTAAATACGTCATCTGTGGATCGCGTTTCGTCTAGTAAAGTATTAAAAACTAGCTGTCGCCCGCGACTCCTCACCAATTTTCAACCATATCGGTTAAACCGTTCTTGAGTTATAAATAGTGGAACTGACACGATTTTCTTTTATATAAATATAGAAGATAATGGTTGCATTTAAAAAAAATTCTCTCTTACAATATTAAACGGGAAGTGGTAAATTTCTAGACGTGTGTCCAATTTCGAATGTGATGAAATCTTCAAGTGCAAAATATATAAGCTAAGGGCTAAAAGTGTTTAATTACTGATATAATTGAACATAATTTTTCGTGGATAAATAAATGTAAGTTTCAACCATTGCGTTCATTCAGTGCGTTTAATACGATAGCGATACTTACATTCCATAGTTTCAATACGATATTCTGTAAAACCATCTCTATCAATTATTTAGTCCAGAATGTGCGCCAGTTTCTATCTAGAGCGTGTCTCTATATATAACTGTATATCTACGTAAATACAAAGATGTACGCTTAGAATGCGAATAACGCAGGCGTAACCAATTCAACATAACCCATTATCGTAGATGCGGCGTTATTACGCGTAGTCAGAGCTCGTCTCTCACTCAATCTGCCGTGAGAAGCCGCCTCATTATGTATTTCACTAATTGGCACCATTCCTGTTTAAGCCTCTTGTCACAATTACTCAGCGCAGTGTCGCTTCAAAAAACAGACTGGCATGGAAGCTAACGATGTCGAACGATGCGAATATGGTGGAGGCAGAATTTATTATGTTTTTGGGATATTTTCAACCCTGATTTGCATAGAGTAAACTAGACAAAATTATTGTTGGTAGTGAAAGATTACCAACCTTTAAAAACACATCAAACGGGATTCGACGAGAAGATATAATGTACATGAATAAACAGAGGTGTAAATATTTAAAATGTTAAGTGTAACCAAGATTTTCATAGATAAAATTTAATGTATTGGCTTGCACTGAACTGGACACTTACATTGCTCTGCATAGTAAGTTGACATCGTGATTGCAATAACCAACAGCTTTCCAAGGCTTAGTAATAAAGTATCGTTTGCACGGCACTACTCTTACAACTAGACAGCCTTGATCTGGCAACGACATTGTAGATTTTTTTAATTCATTTATGTTGATACCGTATCGTATCTATTAAGAAATCCCTTAAATTAAGTAGTTACTATTGTTGGTATTGCTTTCAAGAATTAGGTATTTTCTGGTACCGTTAATTTTGCTATTAATACAAATGGATTTTTTGTAGATCAAAATAAATTCACAGGGAATCTCGACTTAACTTTGTAGTCGTAATCGAATCCGACTGTCATAAAAATTCTCCTCAAACTACCGCTCTTTGTTTTATCTTCTCCAGAGTTTTTTTTTTCTTTATCATGAGCCGCCGTTTAGAGCTTAACAGCCAACCATTGAAGCACGTAACTGCGAGTTGGCTCATCACGATTCTCGCAGGTGCCCGTCCAGGATATAAAGACCCCTACTGTTTTATATCCTGCTATCACTTAGTGGGAAATTTTTCACGCGTTAAAAGAACATCGGGTGCCAAATTATACTGGTGGAACGTAATGGCGCTAGCGGGCATGGCTGTCCCGCTATGGACGCCTTCCAAATCACATCGCATTTGAATAGATTCAGTTAGGCAATAGTCGGCTAATGACTTTTATCGATCTCGAATACAGCTCACGTAACGTTGCTGAACAATACTTAATTTAATTATTGTCACGGTCAGACATATTTGTGATAAAATAAAATAAATTCATAACTTTATTTTAATAAAAACGCTTAGGTAAAATTGCATAAATGTTTTTTTACTAAAAATTACACAAAAAGTATCATTGTTTATGAATCATTTTTAGAAGTTGTTTATCGTAACTAGGTTCCTTAGCATTATAATAAATTAAATTACAAAAAAAATGGTTTATGTGGCTTTCCGTTGAAGACGTCTATAAAAATCAAAGTTTATGAAAAAATACAGACGAGGTAATGCATAAAGATAATATTTTATTACAAGGTAATGTTAATAGAATCGTATGTAAGGGATAATAATGCGGTCTTTGTTCCAGTGTTTCGGAAACGTTGACCATTAACGTCACTCAGAACTCTGCGCCCGCCTCGTTTATTCAGAATTTGTAGGGCTGCCAAACGACAATTTAAATAAAACCTTTTTGGATGTTTAAATTTTTAATTTAAAGCGGAAAAAAGTATTGACTGATACATACCTTTTAGTTTAGTTCAGTGTTAATTGTCAGCCTTTTACTTCCAGTAAGTATTTGAAAATTAATACGACTATTATTTAATCTATACTAATATTATAAAGCGGAAGAGCTTGTTTGTTTAAACGCGCTAGTCTCAGGAACTACTTGTCCGTTTTGAAAAAATATTTTTTTTTGTTGGATAGTCCACTTATAGAAAAAAGTTTTAGGTTATGTACGCTGTATTACGCTGCGACCAATAGTTTTTTTTAATCCCGCGCGGACGGAGTCGCTGGCGACAGCTAGTCTATATGATATATCTATAGATAGATGACACTGCAATGACTTCTGCCATTCTGCAAAAAAAGACAGATATGATATTGAAGATGTAACTCAGACAAGCATGTAAATAATGTCGACAATTATTTGTTTTTTATAAAACTTTAACCGAATCAATTAAAATTATAATATTTAAATATTATTTTTCCAATTTTGACAGCCCTATGTAAGAGAAATATCACGTAACCGCACCGATTTCTACGTAATTCACGTTTCTCGTGTCTTTTATTGCATTAGCTTCGAGTCCAGACGTTTTGGAATCGATGACGTGTACATTTAGAGTTTTACGATGAGTTTAATTTTATCTGAGCCGAATTGAAATACATTTGTAGTGAACTCGTGATCAGAAAGCATCGCATTGTTTCGCTCTGGCCGACGCAACGTCAAAAGAAACATGGAATTTCCTGATTACATTTTTATACATAATGGAAATATTTTTACAATGAATTTGATATAGTTTATGATTTACTAGTGTTATTTAAATAGCTCAAATACTGATGCATTTTTCGTATCCTGTTTTCAATTGCTGGGTTAGCTTATAAAGTATTTAGCTCTAGATACGGATATTTATATTTCGCGTGTTTAAATTCCAGTGGAGTTGTTATGCACGATGACTGTTGCTTACAAAGTTGAATGTAGAAAAATAGCGTAATTATTATTTGCAAAAAAACACGACAATTTGTTCGAAATTATATTTAAATTATCTGTAAATAAAATTGCAAAGCAAAGTGAACCTTTGATATCAAAAAAAATTAAATCAATTTTAACGATAATTTTATGTATCATCTAGGCCGTGGCAATAATTATTTACAATGCGGCAATGTGCGGTAACAGTAGCACCACTTCATTTAATAAAATCATTAAGCATTAAAATTTGTATGCGAACAATCTGTTATTTATTTTACATATTTACAATTTTACAATCGTAAATATTTCTGTTCGGAGTCTGATTTATGTGAAGTATTTGATTTATTTTGTTTGGATACATTATAAATGTTTTTAACAGTTGCGTGGCTCTCTAGTGCGTTTACCTGGTCACTGAACCGGTAATGCGTTTAGTTCACCAACAAAGCGAATATCGCTTTAAACGTATATTTAGGTTTATTTGACTGAATTTAAACAAGCAAGCGCCAAAAGGTGAACATTACCCGTGGGTGTTTGTGACGAAACACTTAAAAACATATTGCTGTCTCTGTTTAGTCAACGTTAATGACAGGGATGTCGATATGTTTTATATAGAGATTTCGGTTTCAGAAACCAACTTGTAGTAGTCATTCATTCATACGTTTAATGATTAATTTATATCTTCTTTAACGTTTCCACTTATTGGAAAACAGTGTTTATTATATCAAATCTTAAGGTGCTTTTTAATTAACATTGCATTTTGGGCGGTAGAGTTCTGCTTCTATGTCTTACAAGTACGGTCTGGTATAATGCCACAATTGCTATTAGTTTAACGTGTGAACTAAACTTAAACAAAGCACATTATTTATAAACGTAGTTAGAATTTGAGGTAATACTCTGTATTAAAAATAAATCCGTTTCAAGTATTCCAACAGTTTGACAAGGGACCCGGGTCTCTCCGCGTTCGACTGTCACGGTGAACCGCCCCAAAGAATACCTAATAGCCACCTCCCCCACCGTCCCTGGACCCCTCGTGTCAGCCTCCTTCCGTGCGTCTTTTAAATATTCTCCTTTCGAATAAGTTGCTAGCGGCAACACTTATATACGTCTGTCACATTTCTGACGAGTTAATAAAACAAAGACAAAAGAAAAGTAAAAAAAGGAAGGGAAAAATGAAAAAAATATATTTGATTTCATACAAATTTTATTACTTCACCTCTATATGGAAAACAAATTCGGTATGCAATTAACAAGACGAAAGATATCGGTAATACTTTAAAATCAAATAAAGGTTTTTGCGACCTCCTGTTGTTTAAACAGCTTGACCCAATTTGAAGAGTGATCTTCCAAATAGTATTATTTACCCAAGTTAAAAAGATACAGTTAGATATTATTATTGTTTTCTTTTACACTATCGTTGGATAAAATATGACCAGAATCGCGTCGTTGTATTAACACCTTTCGGTCTTTCAAGACATCGCATGCCCAGAGCTGCAATGAGAATTGCAGAACAGTATGAGTATACGTTGTTTCTCGTAGAATTATTATACATTTATTACTTCAGCTTTACAATGACGTTCAAGAGAGCACTGTTTCACTGTCAGGATACAATTAAAATGGAACAATGATTCATCCATTCCGCAGCAAATATTATACGAAGCGAAGTACACGCGAAGTGGATCGAAGTGAACCGGAAAAGG